GAGAGAGAGAGAGAGAGAGAGAGAGAGAGATTTTGTCTCAAATGAAGTGGAAGGTGAGGACAGACACCTGAAGTTGTCCTCAGACTGCCACACTCAGGTTGTGGCATGTGCTTACCCACACTTACACACATATACGTGCATACACTTACATTACACACACACACACACACACACACACACACACACACACAGGTGGACAGTGCTAAAAGGCATCCATAATCATTTTTCCTCCTCCTGTCTCCCCAACATCTAGCACAGACCCACCCCCTCAAAAGCCCAACCACTCTCCAAATATCCCATCCTGAACAGCCCAGATCCCACGTTTCAGATCCAGCCAGTCCACATCTGAACTCATGCCCTAAAGTCGGAGCCTTCCTTCCAAGTCCTTCCCTTGGGGCTGTGGCAAGACAGAACTGCAGGGGTCCACAGGGCTCTCGCCTGGACACCTGCAGCCCCCTCCCTTCAGCCTTCACGGCCTCTGTCCCAGTGCAGGTCTGCACAAAGGATGTCACACTCCTGTCACTCCTGACCCTTCATGTTCATCTCCTCCATCTGTGGCCTAATGGGAAGCCTCTCTTAGCTGACTCCCTGTCAACTCCTATGCCTGGCTGCTTTCCAAGTTCCATGCACTTTATCTCCTGGCAGCTCTGGAAACGATTTCGCCCAACCCAGTCCTACTGCCAAGGTCATGATCCAAATATCTCCAATCCCTCCTGTAAGCGCTCACACTGAGCAGCAGGCCCAGCCCCGCTGCTCCCGCTGTCCTGCCGTTGAGAAAGCCACTCTAGGTGGAACACCCAGGCCTGAGACCGCATCACTATTCGGCTTCAGGTCTTTTGGAAAGCCACTTAGCACTGATCATTAATCCGACACCTTGTTGTGCTCCCGTGGCCATGGTCCCCCCAGCCAACTACCCACAGGCTCCAGCATTTCTCTGGCTCTTCTGTCTGGCTGTGTTCAGTTACCACCACTACCAGTCAGGGTCATCACAGCTTTTCTGGACCAAATTCCTCCCAAGGCAAAGAGCCAAGGATGTGGCAAAAATGATAAAGCACAGGAGACCAGACCCCATGCCCACTGGTTCCATTGAGGCACATTGCCAGCACCTGCTCATCTCTGCAACCTGCTCTCACACTGGGAGTGGTGATGGGTTTGGATATTCGTCCTCTTGGCCTTGCTTCAACTCCATGCGAGTGTCTTTCTTATGACAGTGTCAGGATAGTGCACACATATGCCACAATGCCATATGAGTGCCACACACGCATTCTCTGAAGTCCTTCTGACCCTGCATTCTCCTTGTGACTGTTGAATCCACAGTCACCTGCCTGACGACAGCTGGCCCGGACAGCTCCACAGACAACAGGTGAGATGAAAGCTGGTCCAGGGAGCCAAGCCTTGATTTTGTTCAACTCCAGCCAGGCCAAATTGAGGAGTACCAAGGGGGTCTGACACTTTTCTCCAAGGACACCAAAGACACAACTAGCTCTAGAACAGGGTCACGAAGTAAACACACAAAGCTTAAAGGATACATGCCCAGAATGACTGCCTCAAGGCATTTGATAGGCAAGGATTCTCGGGTCATCTCTTTCGCTGTTTCCATTAACCTGTGGGATAGAGCACAAGAGAAGACCTCAGGACTTACACAATTACGCAGTCAGTTTGACTGTCAGTTCCTCAGTCTGTCTGTATGCCTGTCTCCACACTAGCACCATGCAGGAATCTAGAAAGGGAACAACTTGCTTCCAAGGGAGGACCCCAAAAACACATGTGCGCTTGACAGAACTAAGATCCTCAAGTCCGCACCCCCCTCCCAGTTACCTCAGAGGGGGGGCGTGTTAATACCTCCCAGCACCCTCCCAGCCTGGAGGTGGGGACATACAGGAACAAGTAAAGCAGGCCTCATGAGCAGGTTTGCAGGCCTCTGCCATCTTGGAAGTCAGTCTGGTCTGTTTTGCTTTTTGAGTCAGGGTCTCACTGTGCAGCCCTGGCTGGCCTGGAACTTGCTATGTACACCCGGCTGGTCTCAAACTCAGAGATGCACTTTCCTGCCAAGTGCTGGGATTAATGTGGGTCATCACACTTGACCCGAGAGTCAGTCTTGATCACTGAATTTGGCTGCCAAGACTAACTAGTGCTCAGGCCCCACCCACAGTCTGGCCCTGGGGCACCTCCACCCTCTGCATACTAGAATCTTGGAGCCCTAGGAGACAGGGACAGAGTTTGGGAGAGGGTGTTGGTGGCTCACCCGTAGGAGAGAGGCCGAGATCATGCACCACTTACCCGCTCAGAGGTCTCATTTTCCTGATTTCAAAGAACTGGGTCCCTGTATGATTGTATCTGTGTGAAATATGTAAAGGCAAAGTGACAGACACTCCAAAGTCCTGGTCATCCAGCAGAGGGCCACAACAGATTCCCATTTCTCTATGGGGTAAGGAAGTAGTTGCTTTTCTGGCCACTGGCCAGGGGAAGCCAACAGCCTGTGACGCCTCACTGTGAAACTCTTGAAATCTAAGTTTCTTTTCTTTTTAAGATTTATTTTATGTATAGGAGTGTTCTCTCTGCATGTACAACTCTAGGCCAGAAGAGGGCATCAGATTTCACTATAGATGGTTGTGAGCCACCATGTAGTTGCTGGGAATTGAACACAGGACCTCTAGAAGAACAGCCAGTGCTCTTAACCACTGAGCCATCTCTCCAGCCTGGAAATCTAATTTCTAACTGAGCCTAGATTTACTTTTGATAATATCTCATTTCATTCTGCCCTGTGTCCCAGTCATGGTGACCACATGTCTAGGTCACATGACCACATGTCTAAGTCACATGCTAGACTAGAAGCTCTTGAGAGTTGGGAACATTCTTTCATCATCTTTGGATCACCCATAAAGCCTAGAAGAAGCTCAACATACACAGGTTAGCAAATGTTATTAAATAAATGAGAATAAGTAAATGACTTAATTAATGAGTGGGCAGCTCAGTGGATAAACAAGTGAAAAGATAGAAAGAAAAAGTAGATGCACAGAAGGACAAATGGATGGTAAGATGGATAGAAGAAAAGGAAAATGAATGGACAAACAGATGATGGAAAAAAAGTAAAGGGATGAATAGGTAGGTGGATGGATGGATGGATGGAAGGATGGGTGGAAGGATGGGTGGATGGATGGATGGATGGATGGATGGATGGATGGATGGATGGATAGATGGGTAGGTGGGTGGATGGATGGATGGATGGATGGATGGATGGATGGATGGATAGATGGATGGATGGATGGATAGATGGGTGGTTGGAAGGATGGATGGATGGGTGGGTGGTAGGATGGATGGATAAGTGGACAAAGGGATGTGTGTGTGTGTGTGTGTGTGTGTGTGTGTGTGTGTGTGTGTGTGTGTGTACAGGCTGACCAATATATCAATGTATGGAAGAAAAGATGGGAGAGTGGGTGAATGGCAGTAAGACTTTTCAATAGCACCAAGAACTTAAGAAAATGTCACTTATTTCATGCCTGGATCAACACTTGACATCACTAATCTAAACAGATGGCACCACTATCCACATCCTGATTCTGACTGACAGCCTAGTTCTCCAGAGCTAGCAAACCTGTACCACCAAAGACCCCCTTGTTGTTAGTTGTTATTTTACTCTTTTGGGGAGCTGCCACCCAGCTCCCAAATAAATCACATACAGAGGCTTATTCTTAATTATGAATACCCAGCCTTAGCTTGGCTTATTGCTAGTCAGCTTTCCTTAACTTAAATTATCCCATCTACCTTTTGCCTCTTGGCTTTTCCTGTTCTCTTGCTTCTGTAAATCTTACTCTTACTGTGTGGCTTGATGTGTCGCGGGGTGGCTGGCTCCTAGAGTCCTCCTCCTTCTCTGGCTACTTCTTTTTCTCCTCTTTTCAGATTTCTTCTTCTATTTATACTCTTTGCCTGCCAGGTGTCTGTCCTTTCTCCTGCCTTGCTATTGGCCAGTTCTTTATGAGACCATCAGATGTTTTACACAGGCACAGTAACACAGCTTCACAGAGTTAAACAAATGCAACATAAACAAAAGTAACACAACTTAAAATAATATTCCACAACACACCCTCATGTCATGCTGAGACACAATTTTGAATTGTTTTTTGAGCTTAAAGAAAACTTGATTTATATGTTTTATATACTTTTTTGCTTCCAACAAGATTCTATTTGGAAAACTGTGTGCTGGGAAGATGCTGATGAAGAGTGCCTTTGCTTTCCCAGAGCTGCTGTGTCCAGTTGGGTGCATAGAACTCACTCACTCTGTGTCCCAGTGATGCAAGCAGCTTCGTGTGTGGGTACACACCTCACACTGCCCTGAGAGGAACTAGGTCCTCTCCAGGAGAGAGGCACAGATAAAGGGACTGGGGCTCAAAATCAGATTCCAGTTGTAGGTTCATGACTTCCTGTCACACTTTGAAAACAACATGGTCAGGGTCAAGGGTGATGTGAACCAGCGCACCTTAGGAGGGGCTGACCTGGGCTGTGTTCATAGCGGTACAGGCTTGCCTGACATTTCTAAAATAAGAAGTTTAAAAATCTTAAGGGGTAAAAGAAAAAGCAAGGGGCTCTTACTGTAAAGTATTTTTTTACTCTATCAAAGACTTTGCTCCAACAGTGGGGTTCCCAGTACATATAAAGTAGAATTCAGTTTCTAAAAGGTAAGATTAAATCCATGAATAAGTAATGAAAAATTGTCTGGCCATCTTCTCTAAGTTTCTTGTTGTTGGTAAGAGCTTCTGGAAGTTTCTCTCTAGCCTTCCATGTGCAAAGCATAGAGCTCCTGGGCAGGCTTCTCTCACCTAGCAAAGCCATGGGCATCCCTTCCAAACATACACAAAGACCAGTATTCCAGTTCACTGTCCCTCACACTGTTCCAGAAGGCAGGGCTGAGCCATCAAAACACCACTGACACCAGAGCACATGTATAATTAGGTATGTGTTGTGGAATATTCCTTTGCACTGTGTGAAGATATTTCACTGTGACTGGTTTAATAAAAATCTAAATGGCCGATAGCTAGGCAGGACTTCTGGGGCAGAGAGAACACTGGGAAGAAGAAGGACGGAGTCACAAGGAGACACCAGGACTCAGAGGAAGCAGCATGGGCAGTACAGAGTAAAGCGATAGAGCCACAAGGCAGAAAGTAAATGAATAGAAATGGGTCAATTTAAGTTACAAGAGCAGGTTAGGAACAAGCCTAGGCTATCAGCTGAGCTTTCATAATTAAAGTCTTCATGCTCTTGTTTGGGAGCTGGCTGGTGGGACAGAGAAATCTGACTACAGGTAGGGCCCCAGGCAATCCCCACCAGTGTCAAGGCAAAGCAGTCAGGCTCCCCAGGGAACTAGACACCAGGTCAGAAATAGAAGGGTTTCTACTCTGTTTCCCTTGATCATGGCCCCCAATCTCCCTTGTGCTTTCCATTGCCTACTTCGTAGTCAATGGCCATCATTAATGGTCTGAGAAAAAGGAAAGAGAGGACCCTTCAAGAGCAATGATGAGGACTAAGCCAGGTAAGTGTGGCAGGTTTTCTATCAGTGTGAGAAAATGATATGCAAAATACATGCAAATTTGTCCCTAGTGATGAAGCTCAGCCAGGCTCACTCTCCTTGAGAGCTCTAACTTCAGGTCACCTGGAATGCTTGGTGATAGTATGTGACAACTGATGGAAGGTCAGCTCTTGGGACCTGGGTCCATTTGGGAAGATGTTTGAGCCCCCCATCCACCACCACCAACCCATGTGGTGTCTCAGATTGGAGATCAGCATTAATACCTGGTAGGGCCTGGGGCTGCCAGCCTCTCTCTGGAGGAAGCCACAGTCTCCTAATGAGGAGCTAGGACTCCATGGGGAAGGTGCCACATAGGAAGGCGATGACCTATGAGGCAGAAACTGAGATGCTAATCAAGTAATCTATCTTAATGAACGGAAACAGATGCTATCCTCCAGGTGCTATGCAGCCCTGGAAGGTGCTGGTGTCTGATCCCTTCAGGAGAGACATTATCATTCTTGCCTGCAGCAGAGGCTCCTTGCTTCCTGAAGTCCTCTCTGCCTCAAGGCTGGGGAGGAGCAAGCAGAAAGAAAGCCAACATGCCAGGGGGCTCTGTGCACAGTCAACTGGAAGTGCATCTTCCTGAAAAGCACACTGAAGCCAGCTCCCCATCTGACTCCTGTGCCTAATAAAATACCAGAAGTGATCCATGGCCATCACCTCTGCCCCTTTGTCCCCACAGTGCTGCTTCTGAGGGACCTGCAGAACTAAACTAACCCCGACTGTAAACAACCTGAGGGTACTGAGGAGGCCAAAACCATGCCTTGACCGAACCCTCAGGCTCCTCGGTAGCTCTTTTAGTTCAAGCTGAGGTAGGGGCCCCCTGCAGAGCCCAAATGCCCTATGCATACCCACTGGGACAGTCACCTACCTGAGCTGCTGGGAACCAGCAGCAGGGACAGGTGGGTCTCTTGAGATCCTGAGAGGCCAGGGGTGAGGTAAAAACAAGTGAGAGAGGGGAGAAAAGGAAGGCTGGGAGGTGTGGCAAGCTTCCTTGTTGGACTGTCTTTGCAATGCCAGCCCACAAATAATGACTATTATTAATTATGAAAGCTTGCTAACTCTTATAACTTAAACTAACCTGTCTCTATTAATCTACATTCTACCACGTGGCTCAGTTACCCTGTTCTGTACTGTATGTCCGACTTCTTTAGTTTCTGGCAAAATCACACACCTAGATTCCTCCTCCCAGTTTCTCTGGGAAGTCCCACCTATTCTGTCCTGCCCAGCTATTGGCCATTTGGCTCTTTATTAAACCAATCAGAAGGCTCCTTAGGCAGAGACGCAGCTTTACAGTGTACACAAATATTCTGCAACATTTTCCCCCTTTTTGTCTAAATAAAAAAGAAAGGGTTTAACTCTAACACAGTAAAACTATATTTAATAAGAACAACTATCAAGTAAGAATTATATTTACAATGTTCAGTCCACTTGCATTTGGCCATTTGGGAGAAACTATTATCTATTCTATTTTGATGAGTCCAAAGTTTTATAACTAAACCACTTTCCATCATAACTTGTATTTCCATCCTAAAAATACCTTTTTAGACCTTAGAACATTTTCTTAGATAAATAACTTAAGCTTTTGTGTCTCTCAGCCTTTACAAACTTTACATTTCTTTCGTAAGTTTCATTTTTGAATTTGATAACAAAGAAAACAGTATAACTATCTAGTCTTCAACCTCCATCAAAGAACTAAGAAGGATATAATATTACCTGAGTTAACAGGAGGTGCAAAGCAGCAGCCTACAAAACTATAGAAATGACAGAAACAGCTTGCTGCCTGGACAGCCACCCAAGGTTCCTCTGCAACATTGGCGCATCCCTCTTCGGCCCACATGCCTGGACTATCTGACAGCATTTTGTGAAGCAGCAATTTTTTAAGGACTGCCCTACCTTGTCTTGGCAAGTTTGGCAGTCACCTTCTTTTGTGTCCTGCTTGTCCAAGTTGGACAGCATACTGTCAGCAGTCAAGACAAGGGCAGTTTCTTGCCCAGTGGCTAACTTTGCCAATAATGAAAACAAACTGCATATGGAGGTTCTTTGATGCCCATTATCCTTTTTTGAAGTAAACATGTGCTGCCAGGAACAGAGGGTGTCTCACTGTCATGTAACTAAAATATTTTAAATGCCATATTCTGAAGGTCTCTGAAGTGTTTGAAGACCATCTATCTATTTAAACTATATCTCTGTTTGACCTTGAAAACATACCTAACATAAGTTCATTGTTATAGATGATTAACTACTAACCTGTCTTTATTATCCTAAATAACTTTCAAGAACTAAAACTTTACATTGCATTTTTAAATGAGCCGCATAAGTACAATACCTTAAACAAGAATAGAAACATATACAGCATAACCTTAAATCTGTATCAATATGCAAAAATCCATACCAATGTAAACTATTTTAAACCAAAAAGTAGTTGACTTTTTGGTTTAAAAGTAGATTCAATGATCTACCCGTTTATCCTATCATTTCTAAGGACGAGGGAAGGAGAAAGAAAACTAATCATGTAGGGAAAGAAGGGAACAAAGACAACCAAGAAGTAGAGAAAAATGAAAAGGAAAGGACAGGGAAGGGGAAAAGAGAAGTCACAGGCCAACAGTGGACCAACCTTACTGCTCTGTTTGAAGGACAACCCCTCATCATTCCGGTCTCTGTATGGTATACCCTGCTGTCATGTGTGCTGCAAGCTCTCTTCCAAGGGTGACTTTCCACCAAGCCTGCGATCACCGTGCCCATCCCTTGTCTGGGGTGCTCAGCCCCTGGCTGAAAGGATACTGTAGAGTCTTCATGTAATTCTGGATGGCCTGGAGCCAGTCTGGGATCGTCATGGACAGCCTGTAGTTTGGGACCTGGGGAATTGAAGGCTACAGAGAGATACAGAGAGGGGGGTTCCTGTTATTGAGGGGTTGCTTGGGGCACAGCTCCTGGAGCAAGCACGGGGCTGAAATCAAGTGAGAGCTGCTCCCAGGAGCAGACACACACTTGGTCCAGTCACCAGTAGCCATGGTGCCTCCCCCACAGCATCCCCCCAAGATAGCTGGTCCACCATTGAAAGGCCCTCTAAGCCCCCTCCAAACATACTCCACTCTGGGTTCCTGACACTGAGTGTAACACAGTTTGACTTCTCTATGGGAACATAACGGCTTTCTCGAGGCCAGGGACCATATCCTGTGGAATATCCCACTGAGACTGGCCCAGGATGGACCCCAAAGTGCTTCACTGACTGACGCTTACATTTTTATCACATGGTCCATTCTGCAGCATGGCTAAGAGTGACCCCATTATATGTGCTCCCGTCTTGAGCATCGTTGACACGGGACACGAGACAAATGGCATCCAAGATAAAAGAACTACAGCTGAATGGTTCACCAGCCACGGGCACCATTTCTCAACACCACACACCTCACATGCCCATTGCTTCCCTTCCTGAGCCCGTTTCCTGAGTGCCAGATTAAGGAAGGCCCTCCTCTTGCCGACTCTCCCCAGGTGAGTGCTGTGCCTCTCCTCATGAGAGCTCAGCCAGCTCTCCTTCCCCAAGTGCCTACAGTCAGCACTCAACCAAAGCCCTCCCTAGACACAAGGACAGCAGCCAGACAGGAAGACAGGAAGGTTTGTTTATCCCCGCTGACTCCTCACTTCTGCATGTTTGTGGTGGGCTTTGTCATTGGTGACTAAGAAACCTGGTCCCTATGAGTGCAGGATTAAGGGAGGAGGCTCCCCTAGGCGTCTGCTTCTTCTGAAGAAGTAAAAAGGGTGAAAAGAAAGATTAGTCTCATCCTTGGAGGGAACAGGGCCAGCTTTGCCAATAGAAGGGGGGCCGCTAGGAAAACCGTTAGCTGATTGAGTGGGGACAGCCCGGCTGGACAGCAGAGCCAGACACCACCTAAGCCAACCCGGCTCTCCAGGCACGGGCTGCAGCGTGCACAGTGAGAGGTGGGCATGGTGCCCTAAGCATGGGGCAGCCAGCTCTTCCCCAACTTGTGCAACATTTTCTGCCAACATCCCCTGCCGACAGCCTCTCCTCGGTGCCTCTAACTCAGCCTCGGCTCTGAGGCCTTCTGAATTCACAGAAACCGTCCCTTCAGCTGGAAGGGAAGCAGTCACACTTGGTACATACAAGCCAAGGCGCCGTGTGTGTGTGTGTGTGTGTGTGTGTGTGTGTGTGTGTGTGTGTGTGTGTGCGCGCGCACACGAGCATGGCTGTGTGGGCACACACACACAGGCCCAACTGTTCTACAAGCCACATTTTCTCTCCGACACCTCAACTCAAACTCCCTGTCTGGAAGAGTCACTCTGGAGGGCAAAAGATTCCAATTTGAAGATTTGTTACCACGACTCCATTTGACACCCCTCCCCCTCCCCCCACACGCACACGCTCCCACATAAACAGTTTCTCTCACACAAACTCACACATGAATTCTCTGTCCAACCAACACTAGCAAGTGTTGAGACTGCCTTGTTTTTTCACAGTAACACCCACATGTCTACCAAACCCATGTAACAAAATCAGAGGTTTCAAAGCGAGGTGAGAAGCGAAGCGAAGAGGTTGAAGAACAGACCCTGCCTTAGCGCCTCCATGCTGTGAGCGCTAGGCCAGGTACAGAGCAGGGAACATGGGAGCAGAGAAGGGAGGGAGGCAGAGATTCCCTCACAGAAAAGTCAGGAAGCGAGGGACATGAGAGAGAGCGGGTCCCTGCACACGTAGCCCGTGACTTGGCTCAGAGTCCATTTTGGGAGCTGACCACAGAGTTACTTCTACCCCTCCCCCATGCCACGAAGCCCATAGAGAGGGTGTGAAGCGGGGCTCAGAAGGCAGCTGGGCCTCAGAATAGCAGCCAGTGGCGCCCAAGGGATTTAGGAAAACAGCTGCACAGTTACCTCAGCTGGCTGCGGCCACAGTTGCTCCCGAGTAGGAGGACAAATGTAGGCATTCCCCCACGTGGGCTGGAGCAGGGCTGTGTGGGGAGAGCCAAGGCGCTCAGTGGAAGATACCATCAGCTGCTAGTCACCCCGAAGTCAGGTGAGCTGGCTGGGGCTCAGCCTGAGGCGGCTTCAAACAGCACCTCAGACAGCCAGTGTTCCTGCTGGAGTATAAACCAGAAGGGCCCCGGAGGTGCTATGGGGAAACACACGCAGTGGTTCAAATCCCTGCTCTGTCCCCGAGCAGCTGTGGACCCTGGTCACATGACAGGACCCCGAGAGCCTCCACTTGCACGGAGGTAAAATAACTGAGAGGTGTAGACAAGGCAGCGGGGCTGGCGCAGCACACACAGGTGAGCTGCGTGTGCCGTTATCCATCAGCAACATGGTCTCCGGAGCTGGGCTGGAAGAGGCTCAGGATCAGCAGGGACCCTAGTTCCCAGACCCTGAGGTTTCACTTCCTGCGGATGTCTTCCTACCCCATAGGCGTTAAGAACATCAACTCCATTGCCAAGTTCAGCACATGCTGACAAGGAGGGGGTGCCCTTAATTGATGGAGACTTCACAGAGTGATAAGAAAGCAAAAGTGGGGCCAGCCCAGTGCCTGTGGATGGGTAGAACGAAGAGACAGAACTCCATCCAGACAGAGGGATGCTAGTCAGCTTTCAAAAGGAGGCACACATTGGGGACTCACTGAAACGTGGATGAGCCTTGAAGTAAGCCAACCTCAAAACAGCCAATACTGGGCCAGGGAGACAGCTCAGCAGGAGGCCCTGGCCGAACCCATATGATGGGAAGTGACCCACACCTGTCTGACCTCTGCATGTGTGTCTTGGTGTGTAGGTACACGCACACATAAATGTGAAAACGGTTCTAAAGGTAAAGTCTACGTAATTCCTTATGCATGAACTTCCTAGAGTGGCCAGCCTCATAGACAAAGTGGGAGCGGTTGTCGGGGAGTAAGCTCCGGGCAGTCGGTATTCAGTGTGTGGGTTTCAGAGGGAAGTGAAAGGTTTTGGAGATGCATGGTGGTGATGGAAGTGTGACCACGTGCATGTCCTTTATGTCACAGAACTTTCTATCACTGTGACAAAGTCCCTGAGACAGTCAGCTTATAAAGAACAAAGGTCTATTTTTTTTCTCACAGTTTCAGAGGTTTCAGCTCATGGTCACTTGTACCTATATCTTTGGACCTACAGCAAGCACATGGTGGAGGGAACATGTAATAAACAAGGTCTGTCACCTCATGGAATCCAAGAAGTAAGAGGAGAAAGGAGGGGCACCATCTCAATTTTAGGGCACACTCCATAATGACCTAAATCCTTCCTATGAGTCCTCACCTAATAGCATCCTAAGCTGGGGGCTAAGCCTTCAACAAGTGGACCTTTGGGGCATTCAGGATCCAAACAGCAGCAGCAAACACTTCAAAATGGTTAAAAGGAAAGTCATGTACCATGTAGTTTACCCCAATCAACAAATAAGGTCACAAAAAGTGGCTTACCAAAGGAGAAATGCAAATAATGACTGTCTGGAAAGGTTTAAGTTCACTAATAACTTAAACACAGATGAAATCCCTGTAAAATGCCATCCTCCGTCCTTCCTGTTAGTCTCCATGCTCTGAAAGGCAGATCCAGTGCTGGTGAGGAAGCCCTGGCAGTTTAGAGGATTTGGAAAAGGAGGGTGCGGGGTAGGCAGGGAAGAATAATGAGAAGTACCGGCAAGCCTCTGGCGGCCGCCTCTCCACCTGCTTCTTGCCAAACAAGAAAGCTGACAGAAGGCGAGAGGGAAGACTGCAGGTGAGCACAGGTGTGCCGCTGGCATGGCCGTGAAGAAGGGAAGGGGAAGCCGGGCCTGGAGCCAGGGAGGCAGCAAGAAGCCCCAACTCGAGCAACCTTGGACAAGAACAAGGAGAAACCAAAGCATTTCTTTCACTGCACAGGAGTAGCATGAAGCAGTCATAGCCCCAGGATGGCCCCGGGCTCCTGCATCGAAGGGCCCAGCCTGGGGTCTGGGACAGAGGCCCTGGAGTCGCATCTTGTGAGGATCCAGACAGATAGTTCTGAATCCAGGCCACAGAACCGGGGGAGCATCCTGAGAGCAGAGGGATCAGGGGCAGAGCCTGCAGGAGTTTCAGATCCCTGCTCACACTTCAGATCTCAGCCCTCTAATGTGAATTCTTTCCAAATTTGGAATCACTGTGAAAATGAGACACACACACATGGGGGCTGCAAGAAACGCAGCGGCCTTTCTGGCTGAGCCGCCCTGGTGCCCGTCCAGGCTCAGCAGAGTAGGACTTTGATCACCAGGATGTCTGAGAGCCAGACCTAGAAGGGCCAGTTGCTCCTCTGCACCTGCCTCCCTCGGTCACTCTCTTCCCTTTCTGTGCGACCCCAGTGACGTGATCTGTTCTTAAATTACCCCAGCAAAAGCCTGGATGGGACCTAGTCAGGTGCTCACTTGGACTCAGCAACCATGAGTGGAGAAGAATGCAGTCACAATTTGGAGAGGATCTCAAGTGATACACACCCCACCCCTGCTCCAAGGAGAGGTACCCAGGCCTTCAGGCAGAACTTATCATGGTCCCTAACTAAGGTCTTGTAATTGAAGGACATGTCATCCGTGCCTCACAGACCCTGGGAACTTGCTCCAGATACTCTCTTGCCTCAGTTCCCATTCTGCTGATAAAGTAGTTAACCTTGCCCAAAGCCTGTAATTCTTCTTCAGCACTGTCCACTACACACCTTTGGTGTACATTCCTCACAGGATGGTGTTGGCTTGGCCAAAGGAGAAAAACTTGGCCCCAGGAGAGACTGCCAAGCCCTGGAGCTGGAGGGGAATGGCCTCTGACAGAGCAGCTTGAGATTTGCATGCCTGTGCCTGGGAAGGAGCCAGGATTTGGGGGACATGGAAGCCAGGAGATGCCATGATGGGGTTGGGGATGGAGAACCAACTATTAAGATTCAGTGCTCACTTGGAAGGTAGAGACTAGGCTCAATGGCCAGCCTCAACAAAGTGAATTGGAGACTAACTTAGGCTACATAAGAACTTCTCAAAACACAAAACCAAACAAAAAACAAATATGCAATGTAGGAAAATGAAAGCTTATGCTCTTATTCAAGTTTAAAGACCCAATTGTCACCAGGGGGTGACATGCCTATGAACCCAGAAATCAGAACCCTGAGGCAAGAGGACCACAGGTTTGAGGCTAGCCCCAGATACAACAAAGACCCCGTCAAAGAATGGGGAGGGGCCTGGAGAGATGGCTCCATGGTGAAGAACACCGGGTTCAATTCCAGCACCCACATGGTGACTCACAACTGTAACTCCAGTTCTGGAGGACCCAACATCTTCTTCTGACCTTTGTGGGCACTCATGCCATGGTACACAGACACACATGCCAGCAAAACACCTGTACACATAAAATAAGTCTTTAAAAGTTAAAAAATAAGCCGGGCGGTGGTGGCGCACGCCTTTAATCCCAGCACTTGGGAGGCAGAGCCAGGCGGATCTCTGTGAGTTCGAAGCCAGCCTGGGCTACCAAGTGAGTTCCAGGAAAGGCGCAAAGCTACACAGAGAAACCCTGTCTCGAAAAACCAAAAAAAAAAAAAAAAAGTTAAAAAATAAATAAACAAAAGGAGCCAGGCAGGAGGAAGAGACAGGCAGATCTCTGTGAGTTAGAGACCAGCCTGGTCTACAGAGGGAGTTCCAGGCCAACCAAGGCTTCAGAGTGAGACCCTGTCTCAAAAAAACAAAAAGCAAACAAACAAATAGCAAAAACAATAACAAATCTAGAGCAGCCAATGGCCTGTGCTCAGCTAGAGGAGTCCCGACTTACCAGCAACTGTCAGGAGGCTCTTGGGTTACAATGAAAATACAATACGACACATATAAGATACAGGAACATTTTCTTTTTTGAAACGGTCTCACTATACATTCCAGGCTGGCCTTGAACTCAATGGCCTAGAACTTGTAATTTTCTTGCCTCTCCCTCCTGAGTGCTGAGACTACTGGTACTCACCACCATGCCTGACTGGAACATTCTTTTATAAAAAGAAAGCATTCAGCTATAGAACGGGAAGTATCACCTCAGCAACACTTAGAATACTGCATCTCACTTGTGTTCGTATGGGGACCGCCTGGGGGCAAATGAGCCAAGGTCCCAGAAAGAGCAGACTGACGTGAGGAAGAAGAGAAAGAAGAGAAGAAAATGAAGAGGAGGAGGACGACAAGGGAGGAGGAGAAGGAAGAGGAGGCCACAGAGAACAGAGGTAGAGTGCCTCTATCTTGTACTAACTCCCTCTCAGGGGGACTTGAGTGAGAGACATCTTCACCAATACTAAGATCCGATGCTTGTCCACACAGAGAAGGACTCCCGCACACAGAGCTGGGGTAACCATAAAGGCACATGGAAGGAGGTGCAGGAATCAGAAAGCCAGCCCGCACAGTGGCATGCAGCCTCTGCTCCCTCTGGCCAACTCTTGCATGGTTAAGGACTCTGGTGGATCACGGTAAGCAGAGGAAGATGATCTCCGAGCCGGGGCTGTCTGTGTTCGAGAGCAGGGCTCATTATTGCTGATGCTGGGGCATCAGCTTCTTGTCAGACAAGCTCCTGTTTGGATGGAATAAATCCCCTGCCTAGCAGAGTAATAAAACACGATGGAGCGGGAAGCAGAGCCTCCTCCACTTCCCCAAGGGCGCACACACAGCCTTCTGGTCTGCAGGCTTGCACGCTCTGCTGTGCGCAGACAGCCTAGGACTGACTACTGCATGGCTCTGGGGTATGGGATTCCTGCACCGTCTCAGGATCCTTCTCAGCAAACAGGGTCCCCAGAGTTCGGGGAAGCCATCTCCATAGTGGCACACCAGGCTTTCATCTAGCTTGCTATTTGCTATTTTATATAACAGGACACTCCCACCAGGGGACATCTTCCCTCTGTAACCATATCCTTGGCCACCAAGCTCAACCGCTCGCTGGCTGCTCTCCAGACTAGAAAGAGAGCTTCACTTGGCCTCTTCCTTTACCCGGGGAGACTAATTCATCCTGTGTCTGGGAAGTCCCTTTTAAGCCACAGACGCTTCCCTTTTCTCCCCATAGCGCCAGATAAGCTGGGAAGAGGCAGTTCACTGTTTTATGCAAGTTCCAGAGGTAAAAGTCACTGTCATAAAAAAAGAAAGGAAAGAAGAAAGGAGGAGAGAGAGAGAGAGAGAGAGAGAGAGAGAGAGAGAGAGAGAGGAAATGAGAAAGAAAGAGAAAATTGGCAAAAAGTCTAGAAATGATTCACGCTGAGGAGTCTGGCTGGTTGACTACAAATTCACTCACGGCTCCATAAATCATTTGCTAGGGGAACAAGGGAGAAGCGGAACACTCCGCGGAGGACCGGCGGGTGGACGTGGGGTTCTATGCTTTCTTGGAGTGACTTGTGTTGACCTGGTGACACTAGCTTTTGATGGAGATGTTACAGGGGCTGAGTACATAATGGGTTTTAGCTCAGCCTAACCTTACACGGCCAAGCCAGCAAGCCCCCTTCTTAGCCCTTCTGAAGGCAGCGGAACAGAGACAGGACTCAGGAACTGGACATGAGGTCTCTGCTGCCTGCTCCACCCTAGCTGAGCCGGTCCCATCCCGCCCATCCGGACCATCTCGCCTTCTCCCAGTCACACCACTGACCTTAGCCAGGAAGGCAGCGTTTCTGATGGCGCCCACCATCTCTCCTCCTTTGGGGTGGACCTTGGCAACATGCAGCCACATACGCTCCCAGGTGTGGCTGTCGATCGGGAAGCCACTCTTGTTCACGTGGAACAGCACCCCGCCGTCTTTGTCGTCCTCCTCCGAGCCCCCGCTGGTGGCGAGGCTTACTGGCCGCGCGTGGCTGCTCCGGGACCGGGTGCCTTTGGCGCCTTTGGGGTGGGGGCAGCGATGAGTGTCCGCGGCGGAGCCGGTCATGGTGAGGGGCACGCGGCAGGGGACTTGGGCGCGCCGGAGATCAGAGCCCTGCGGGGGTGGCCTTCATCTCTCGCGGCCGCAGGACGCACTAAGGGAACTGCGGGGCTCCCCGCTCACCGGCCGGGCCTGAAAGCAGTGGAAACAGCACACACTGCGGCTCAGTAGACAGGCAGCGGGGCTCCCGCCCACCCCCTGCCTCGCTGCCCGAGACCCACCCCCTTAGGACTAACGCGAGCCTCTAGCCCGGCGGATTACCTAGCAAGGCGGCTGGAAAGGCGCCACGAAGACTCACACCCAGTTGCACCCGGGGATGGGGAGACATGCAAGGAGCACGGGGTGCAGAGGGGACAGGGTAGGAAGAAGCAAGACAGCTGTGTAGCAAGAAGGCACAGGGGACCCCTCCAGGATCCACTCATCCCTGGGTCCCTAGATGTGGTGGATTGCCACCAACCCACAGCAAGCCGGCACGTGAGCACCCGGGGCTGGCACGAGGGTGCCGCAGCAGCCTCTGCTTGCTCAGGAGGCCTGGCGTCTTCCCGGAAGCCCCCCAAACCCTGGCGCGCGAGGGGCGGCTCCAGCCGGGGTTCCCGGGCAAGCGCAGCGCCGCCCCCTTCCCGCGGGTCCCTCGCGGACACGGTGAGTGGCAGCTGCGAGCAGTTAGGGCGCGCGCAGGGCATGGGGACCCACCTCGGGCCAACCAGCCTCATTGCTGCAGAGGGCTGCTGGAGCTGCGGCGGCCGTCACCTCATTCCATGTCCCATTCTCGAATGTTATTCTGTGACATATAATCGAGTCACCCGGGCAGCCGCCGATGTTCCGGATGCATCCATTGGACACCGCAACAAAGAGGGGCGGGTCCCGGGCTTGGGACTCTACAACCCGGAGCTGTGCAGCTCTGTGATTGGCTCTAAGGTCCCCAGACGGGAGGGGATGGAGTAAGGGAAGCTGGGCTGCCACGCGAAATCCGATGCTGCGGTGTCCTGGGAGCCCTGCGGAGCTGAGCAACTATCCAGGGACTAAGGTCCAGTTTCCCCGGGGCGGAGGCGCAGCAGTGAAGACCCAGAGAGATGTGGCTCGGAGATAGAGCAGGTCTTGGCGTTGGAGCCGTGTTCGCTCTGGGCACAGTGACCCGGCCCTACACAGGGCTCTGGGTGGCTCAGGAAAAGCTCAACATTAATACTTAGCAAAATTCTCCATTACAAGTTTCTCTCCAGATTAACAAGTGGATACTGCCTTACATCTTCTGTTAGTAGTCATGGATAACAAGGTCCCTCAATCCAAGCTGCTGTAAGATACAAGAGGCCAGTCAGGCCCCTTCTGCCACAGCTACTGGTTTCTGGTGGGATGCTTGAAGCCAAGGAGTGGCACTCCCACGGTCCCCACTACAACACTACATTTTTCTTCTCTCCTCTCCTCTTTCTCCCCATGACCCCTTTTTTGAGACAAGGTCTCACAGCACCCAAGCTGACCTCACACTTGCTATGTAGAGAAGGATAGCCTAGAACTCCCGGCCCTGCCTCCACCTTTCAAGTGCTGGAATTACAAGGACCTTACAAGTCCCATTCATGTATGCTGCGCCTCCACCCCGGGGAAACTGGACAAGCACGTGTGTGGATAAGAATTAGGCCTTGCAGTCCCTCAGAGAAGATAGCTCACACACACCTGAAGTGAACAGGCTGGTTTATAAACATCAAAGAATGGCAGAAACCAGGTTCTCGGCCCTTACAGCCACTTCTACTGTCCACACATAGACCAAGTCCACCCAGCACCCAGCATCTTGTCCATCCGTAGCCTGAATCCTGATTTGCCTGAAACTCCAGACACCAGAAGGAGTTTGTGTTCCGCCTTCCTGCTTTGAGATGCCTCACAGCTCACTGACAATGGAGGGGAGAGCATTTGCTGACAGTCCTGACAGTCCCCGGGATTCTGGTTGCTGATTTCTTCTCCCCACAGATGGGATGAGCAGTGTGGCCTGTGAGGATAGGCACAAAATTCAGCAACTTTCCCAGTGAGGTCAGTGCAGGCTCCTGAGTGAACTTGCTGGCCCAGGGGCCCAAGACCTCTTCACTGAGAGCTGTGCCGAGGTGCAAGGAGAGAGTGGACAAGGACCGAAGTCCCAATATCCCACTTAAAGGATGTCCTCGATGACCTAACTTATTTTTGTTAGACCTGTTGTGGGTTTGAATGTGAAATGTCCCCCCTAGGCCCACGTGTTTGAACTCTTGCTGTCCAGCTGACAGCATGGTTGCAGACGGCTGTCAAACCTTTGGGAGTTGAAGTGGGTTATGGAGATAAGATACTGAGGGTTTATAACCCATGCCCACTTCCAGTCTGCTCTCTGTTCCTCCTAGACCTGAGGTGAGGGTCCAGGTGCACACTCCTAGCACCATGGAGCCACCCACCACCATTAGAGACTTCGTCCCCCCAAACGCTGAGCCAAAAATAAACCATTTCTCTCAAGTTGCGTAGTGTCATGTAATCGGTCACAAGGAAAGAAGTACCAAATACAGACACCCACCTCCTAAAGACAGTGCCACCTCCTGACGGCATCGCTGCCCAGCAACCAGGACGAGCCGTGACTTCTAGGGACCCAAGTCTGTTGTTTTACGCTCAATACAGTGGCCATCCCTTGAGCAACTGCTGTCCCATCCGGCAACTGCAGCTCCACAGCTACCAGCAGCTGCTTGGCCACAGGGGCCACAGCCAGGTGGATTCTGTTCCTGGCTCTCTCACGGCCACTGAAGGAAACTATCCAAATCTCTGTCATTCTATAGAACTCAGGGTTCAAAGGTTGAGGTGAAACCCTGAGGGCTCAAAGAGGCTGAATAACAAATAGCTAATCTTCTCTCCTTGCTCGAGCCTCTGACAAATGGGGCCGTCCTTCTGCTCAGCCCCCACTAAAGAACCCTCTCTGGACTCAGTTCCTCCCTATCCTTCCTGACAGCTAGCTAGCTGCTGACTCAGCCTCCGGACCCCAGGTTAATGTTATTTATTCAAACAAATGTAACACGTCTTTTATTGTTAACAAAAGCAGCAGAAACAAATGTAACACAGCTTCACACAGTTAAGGTAGTACTCCACAAGACAAGTCATAATATGAGGTACGAGAAAACCCATACAAAGAGCCTGGTGCGTGTGAGCTGGGCCTCACTTTGAATTTGGGACACTCCACAAACAGATTTGGAGACATCTGTGCCTAGTATGTCTCCTTGTCTGTTAGTCGAGACTGAGAAATAACTGCAGTTACCCAGCAAAAAGAATAAACATTTGAAGTAAGTCACAGACATATGAAGGGGAGCAAAGCTTAGAGAAGCTAGAAGGAGGTGCTGGGCACACAGGAAGAAGTGGACGAGTTTTTCCACTGATAGCATGGAGGAGAAGCCACACAGTTGTGGGCAGAATTGTGTGCGCTCCTGCACTGAATCTGTATGCTGATGTTCTAACCCTCAGTACCTCAGAATGTGATATTTGCAAATATTGTCACTGAGATGTAATTAGTTATGATGAACTCATACCAAAGGGGTTGGGCTCCTACTCTAATAGGAATGATAGACTCATGAAGGGAAAATTTAGATGCTGAGACAGCTGGGTACATGAGGAAAAGACGGTGTGAGGATTGAAGCTACTTCCTGACAGTGAAGGAACTGGAGCCAGGAGCCAGGTGTGGCACAGACTGGCTGAAGGGTCTTCAGAGGGAGCAGGCTTCGATGAGGCCTGGGTCCCTGACTCCCTCCAGTTTCCAGCAGGGTGGGTGGTCAACCTCTGTGCAGACCATGCTGATTGCAGCTCTTCCTCACTGCTGCTCTGACAAGCTACATGACTCTGGGCTGCCAGGACTCAGCTCAGGTGTGGGAGCTGGCTGAACTCGAGAAACGACTTTTCCATGCAGTATCAACACTAATATTACATAAACTGAAGATTCAGCAACATTGGTCTAAGACAGTAGGAGAAAACACCAGTAAGAGGTCCACCCATATTTCTGTATTTTCTTTTGACCTTTCAAGCTCTCTCTGAGATGTCACCTGTATTTCATGACTGTCTGGCTTGAATGTGAACTGTCCCTCTGAGGCTCCTATGTGGTGGTATTGTGTTCCCCAAAATATTGTGTACCTTAATAAACTTATCTGGGGTCAGAGAACAGAAAAGCCATTAGTTAGGCAGTGATAGCACAAGCCTTTAATCCTAGCACTCCAGAGGCAGAAATCCATCTGGGATCTCTGTGAGTTCAAGGCCACATTGGAAACAGCCAGGCATGGTGACTCACGCCTTTAATCCCAGAAAGCGAGCCTTTAATCCTAGGGAGTGATGGTAGAAAGCAGAAAGGTATATAAGGCGTGAGGACCAGAAACTAGGAGCATTTGGCTAGTTAAGCATTCGGCTGGTTAAGCTTTCAGGCTTTGAAGCAGCACAATTCAGCTGGGATTCATTCTAGATGAGGACTCAGAGGCTTCCAGTCTGAGGAAACAGGACCAGCTGAGGAACTGGTGAGATGAGATAGCTGTGGCTTGTTCTGTCTCTCTGACCTTCCAGTATTCACCCCAATAACTGGCCTCGGGTTTGATTTTATCAATAAGAACTTTGAAGATTCCTGCTACACTCCTATGTTAAAGGTGCAGTTCCCTGAATGGTGCTACTATGTAGGGACACACTGGAAACTTGAAAGGCAGAGCCTGACTGAGAGAAGTAGTCCATTGGAGGTGTGACCTTGGGGACATGCCATGCCCTGGCCCAGCCCTCTCTGCTTCCTGGCTGTCCTGAGGAGAGCAACTCTGCAGCCCCTGGTCCTTCATCTGTGAAGGACTGCTTTGCGTGGCTCGGAAACAATGGAGCCAGAGATGGTGGGTTGAAATCTCAGACGCTGTGAGCCAAAGTAACACCCCCCCCAAAAAAAAACTGTATCTATCAGGTGTTTCTGATGGTGATGGAAAACCCAAGCAATGGATTGAACTGCACAAATCACCACTGATTCACACAGTGGTTCGCATTGCTCCCTAATTGTGCTGGGAGCAGGTCTTGCCATATGAAGAAGAGAGGCGACCTCCACTGGGTGTTTGGTCTATGCTGAGCACAGCTTGAGCCCCGCACACATATCCTGTTACTTAATGCTCCCAAGGAACCTGTGAGTTTTAAACCAGCACTAGGAAAGCTTACATAATTTGCCCTAGGTCCAGACACTAAAGCTGTAGTTTGGATACTGAATGTCTTCCCTAAGGTCTCCGAGTCCAATTCCTGGTCCCCAGTTCGGTGATTTCTAAAGTGGTGAGACTCTGAAGTGGGGCCTCAAGGGAGGGTTCAGGCCACTGGAGGCAGGTGAAGGTGACTGTGGTGGTATTGTGTTCCCCAAAATATTGTGTACCTTAATAAACTTATCTGGGGTCAGAGAACAGAAAAGCCACTAGTTAGGCAGTGATAGCACAAGCCTTTAATCCTAGCACTCCAGAGGCAGAAATCCATCTGGGATCTCTGTGAGTTCAAGGCCACATTGGAAACAGCCAGGCATGGTGACTCACGCCTTTAATCCCAGAAAGCG